CTCTTTAAACAGCAGCTACTTTACACTACAGATGTGGTTGCATTTCAATGTCAATTACATTTCAGAAGTAATTTGGAAAGGCTCTAGAAATGTAACATGCTAGTGCACCACCACTTAACGTTGTTAACTTACCTTATAGTATTTATTTATTTGCTGCACACAGTAAGTTCAGCTCTGTACAGAATATACAGAAGAACATGTCCCTGCCCCCCCGGAACTTACCCTCTAAAATAACACAAGCCACCAGTTGATTGGATAAGCAGCAGTACAGCAAATAAGTTTTTAAATTAATTATTATAGTAATAATGCCATAATAATCCGGGGATTTCTTGGAGTGCGGGACAGTTGGGGGGTATTACTGGCAAGTGTCATGGAAGAAGTGTGTTTTGAGGACATATATGAAAGAGAGGAAGCTTGCTGCACCATGACAGCAAGGATATACTAGTCATAAGGGATAGCATAGAAAGAGAGGCAAGAAAGCAAGAAGGATGAAGAAAAAGTGGTCAGACACAAGGTGTTGGAAGAGTGAAGAGAGCAAGATTCAAATGAAGATGTAGACTGGAGAAGGGCTGTTTAAACCTGATTCAGAAGGCAGGAAGTTAGAGGGATTTGAAAAGAAGATTAGGTGGTCATAGCAGTGTGTGAGAAAGATTCTCTTTGTAACATTATGAATAGACTGAAGGAGAGAAAGGTGAGGATTAGAGGTTTCAGTATAATAAATGCACATATCCAGCTTAAAAATGATGTACCAATATGTCTTCACATTGCATTCACTTCAGTTACCAGAATTTAAACTGTTTGATCTACTGCACAACCAGACAAAAAAGAAAGCATTAAGTCACCTACACTGGGCACACTTAAAAAGTTCACTTCAGTTCTAACAGCATTGAAATATAAGGAATATCACTAAGACTGAAATGTAATTTATGTCACCCACCATACTAAGGAAATAAATTGGGTCTGTATTTTTTTTTTAAAAGCTTCTTGATGTTATACAAAGAATACAGGTAGGGTGTGGGGGTTGTTTGTTTTAAGATTTCCAGCTTTTTATTACCTTAAATACATCTGAAATGTCAAATCTGGTCTTCTCTGGCTTTGTTCGCAGCTCTGAGGACTCATATGTTACTGCATAGTATTTTAATGTTTGATCTGTTTCAAGTCCTACAAGAACTAACAGTCATTGCTACTCACTACAATCAATTGACTCCTCAGTCCCAGTAGTTGACAATTGGAGCACATTACGTAAAACAAAAATTCAGCTGATTTCAACAATATTTCAGTAGTAATCAATTCCTTGGTGGCACACTTTTTGCAAGACGCGCTTAACCCTTTTATAATCTATAAATCAGTCTCAACACACATCTTTAAATTCCACTTTACTAAGATTCTTATTTTCTTCCTCCCCCTAAACAGGAAAAAAAGTGCCTCTGGAGGTCTAAAAGCATTCCCCATAAAAATGTTCAAAAACAAAAATGTAGCAACCTATACAACTAAGTAGCAGGTACACCACAGAGAGATGGCATAAACAAATCTCTACTCACATCATTTGGATGCAATTTATCCACACTAGTAGATGGCTATAAGTCTTAGATCACACTTCTATTGTTTCAGGAACTGCTCTGGTACCACTGAGGAAGTCACTTGAGTTCCAACAGGATGCACAGAGTGGGAGGACGGATGTAAAATTGCCCAGTAATGAGCAAACATTTTTATACTCCAATTTAAACCTTTCTCCCTTTGGCAACCTGTGTGTGTGCAGAAAGCACCCTTCCACAGATGTTCTAGTTATAAATATGTACCAGTAAAAAAATCCAGTTGGAGATAAGTCAAGTTTGTCTCCAACATCCCTCAGGTCACTACAGAATTTTTCCCTTTATGTGAAGGGATAAACAACACTTCCCTATTCACTTCCTCCACACCATTCATGATTTTATAGACTTCTATCATATCCCCTTCCCTTAGGCAATGTCTACACTAGCACTTATGTCAGCAAAACTTTTGTCGCTCAATGGTGTGAAAAAAACAACCCCGTGAGCCTCGTAAATTTTGCCGGCATATGTGCTCGTGTGCACAGTGCTACATCAGAAGAAGACACTCTTCTGCAGACACAGCTACCGCCGCTTCTTGAGCTGGTTTTATTATGTCGACGGGAGAGCTCTCTCCTGTCGTCATAACACAACTGCATGAGTGATCTTACAGCTGTGCTTGTAATTGTAGACATAGCCTTAGTCATCTCTTTTCTAAGCTGAACAGTCCCAGTCTTTTTAATCTCTCCTCATACAAAAACTGTTCCATACCCATAATAGTTTTTGTACAAGAGAAGGGCAACATTTTCTAATTCTAATACATCTTTTTGAGATGGGACAATCAGAATTGCACACAATGTTCAAGATACCATGGATTTTACCATAGTTACCCTAGGACTTCATGAATAACTGAAATCAATAAAATAGATTTAAAAAGACACATTTCATGGATGGATGTAGTTAGTGGGGTGGCTTCTAGGTGTCAGAACCTAGCCACTAAGATCCATAAAAGCCATTCTCTAGGACAGGGCTACTTGCCAAATTAATTTCTATAGTAACCTGGAAACAGCAGTTCAATGAAATAATGTTATTGGCATGACTATACACCTGTTGCCAAAGGATAAGAGACACCTACAGTTTGTCTGTCTGTCAGAGGTACTCCCTCTAAGCAAAGAAAGAATGCCAGCTCATGCTCTGAACAAACCTGTTGGCTATGCCTCTGGTTTGATAGAGTAAGAGGCAGTATCATCCCCCAAAAATGTGGCTAGGGTTATGGTTTACGGATTTCTCTAGCTAGAAAGATTTCACCCTTTTAAGACAAAACATAGAACAGGCAAACCGCGATAGGTGTCCCTGCCCTCCACAGGTTGCGAGGGGTGAGGATGAACTCCACCTCACTTTCTTCCCTTAGAGCCTGCTTTGCCCGTGTTTGGATTTTGATAGTACCACAAATGACACACGCGCGGGAGAAAAGGGGAGGGTCGTCGTGTCACACACACGCGTGCGCGGGGACGGGGGGGTCATCGTGTCACACACACACGCGCGGCGGGACGGGGGGGTCGTCGTGTCACACACCCGCCTGCCCAGGCACTTCCAGCCCCGCACCAACCCTCACCCGGCCGGCCTAAGCCAGGAGAAGGAGACGCGAGATGTGGCTCCCGCAGCCCGGGCAGCACCGACCTTCAGGCGCAGGGAACTGCCCCGCCACTGGGCCCCGCAGCCTCCCCGGGGCGAGGCCGCCATTGCCCGGCCGGGAGGGAGCCAGGGCCCCGGCGGGCAGGCCAGACCCGGGGAACGGTCTCCTACTTTTCCGCCAGCCCAGCCGGGCCGGGAGCCCCGGGACACCGACCCCCCGCGCCGCGCCAGTAACGTACCCCCGCAGCAGCGGCTCCTCCGGACGCCACCCCCCACATGGGCAGCGGCGTCTGCCCCTGTCACCCGCCGCTACCCCGCTGGGAGCTGGAGGCGCCCCCGGGAGAAGCGGGGCCCAGGCGGGGCAGCGAAACAGCGGCGGGAGCAGCTCGACCTGTGCCCGCGTCCTGCTCTGCGTGTCCCGCGCCCGGCGTCGCCCGCCTGCTCCGTCCCCGGCTCCTGCCGCTGCGGCGACTCCGAGCGCGACGCACTGACAACAACGGCCGGCGGCTCCCGAGACCTGGGGGCGGGGCCAGGGAGGGGCAACCGGCACAGAGAAAGGGTCGCCGCTGCGCATGCGCCGGAGGGAGGGGCCACCGTCTTGCCGTCACGCCCTGGCTAAGGGGGCGTCGCGGGTCGGGGAAGGACAGGACGGGGGGGAGCTTGAGGGTGGGGAAAGGATCGGCTAGGGACGGGCCGGGCCGGGCTTGTGGGGGTGAGTCTGAAGGTAGGGGAGGATTTGGAGGTTGGGCTTGGGTTTAGGTGGGGTGGGTTGGAGGAGGAGGGTTTGGAGGTAGGGG